GTATCCACTGGGCGCCACACAGTCACTATCATCGCAGGCTACAGCAAGTACTACGAGAGCATCTCCCTGGATGATGCTCGGGGTAAGCTGGTGCGACAGGGCCACGAATCATACGTCTTCGCCAACGCCGCAGATCGCAGCCGCGGCATGCGAATGATGGGCTTCCTGCTGGGGAAAGCGCATGCTCTAGAGCAATGTGATCAGCATGTCACTCTCCGCCCCCTGGCGAGGTTTTCGCCCGACGTCGACGACGCCTCGCGTTGCGTAAACGGTGGCACCAAGGGCATCGCGATCTCACGAGCAGTGCGCGCTGGGAAAAAACTTCTTCGCCACCGCCAAGCGCCTGGGAGCTCGACTCAACGATGGGCTGGCGGTCGTTGCCAGCTCGGTCAGCATCAGCAAGGAAGTCGCCGAGCAGCTGCGCCTGGAGCTCAACGCGAACCAGAGGGGGGCCACCTACCTGGGCACGGACAAACCGCAGGCGGACGACGACGGCTGGTCAAGCACATGAGACGGAAGCACCAAGACAGACTGCGAATTTACCGACCACGCCAGAAACAACTCGGGCGCTACCGACGACGACTCCCGGGTGACTCGCTTCCTCGACATGCGCCACGGCGGGGTCTCCACAACTGCGGAGCTGGCGCTGCTGGGGGGGCCCACGGTCGTGACAGCGCTGGTTCCAGCAACGTGGTGGCCTCGAACGGTCTGGGCAGCTGCGTCGCAACCGCAGCTGCAGACTTGTTATTGCAAGTCACAAGTCGACAGTAGCGGGGGACGCGCCCCGCCAGCGTCGCAGAGCGCGACGGCTATCAAGCGCCCAGCGCTTCGCCCAGTGCATCGCCTGGTCTGTTCCACTCGCGCTACTCACTACATGATGGCGGCGGGCTGTGGGGCTGCCAGGGCTGCGCAGCAGCTCGGGCAATGCCATGGGGCCGCTGCAGCGCGCAGCGCGCAGCGCTCTCCATGCAACGAGCAGGATGGGCGCCGAAGGCGGGGCAACTATGGATCAACCACCGAGGAGATGGAGCGAACGTGGATCAGCTAACGCCAGGCATCTTGCCCACGATGCTGCAGCAAGGGGCCCAATGTCAGCACGGGAAAGCGCTTGCCAGCAAGATGGGGCTCGGCGACGCAACGAGGATGACATTCGATATCCCAGCGCCCATGATCTCGGCCAAGAGTCAGCGATGCAAGGCTCGCCAGAACTTCTACATGATGAATGCGGCTTGCGGTGGAGTACCCAACGGCGAGCTCAGCTTGCAGGGTGCCCATCCGATGGGAGATGCCAATGTGGAGCTGAAGATGCCCTTCTCCATCGCCTCGTCGGCTTTGCGCGGCCTGAGGCCCAGCAAGCACGAACAGAAGCTGAGGTGCCAGAGGCGCTCTTCGATCAGATTCGGCAGCGAGGGGATGAGCCTGGTTTCATGCAAGGGGCTGTCGCCTATCCTACCTCAGCCGCCCCGCCCCTGGCCCTCGGGGTGAGATGTGAGATCCTCGACGCGCGCGGTATCGTCAAGGATGCCACTCCTGAGCAGATGGCGCAGGATGGCCTTGCAACTGAGGATGCGTGTATAAAGATTGCCATCGATGGGTCCTGCACATAGCCACTGGCCCGCGAGTTCCAGCGCGCTGGTTGGAGCGTCGCGGTCCTGGACCCGCGACTCAGCACGCCCATCTGATCCATGCAAGCTCCCGCCCCCGCCTCGCTGCCAATCGTCGGCCATGGGCGAGCACTTGGGCGCAGCTTTCGTCTCGCAGATCGCCGATTGTTCTTGCCAGATCTACGCGGATTTCACTGGAGCCATCAAGCTTGGCAACAAGGCCAAGGGTCACCAGCTGAAGAGCAAGACCCCCTATGCGTGCGTTGTACACTTTGCACAGTCGATGGATGGCTTCAAGTATGTTCAGCAGTACCATCACGTCAAGGCGCACAGGTCAGGGGCTGCGCAGGCTGACGGACGCCAACATTGCGGCAGACTTGCGGGCGAAGCTTGCTACCACTATGCACGCGCCACCCGACGAGCAGGTCGCGGAGGAGATCGACGAGGCTGTCACTAGGACCGGCAAGATTGCGCATCTCGTGGCCAGCATGCTCCCCATATTCGACAAGGACGGCCAGACAAGGTGGACACCACGGCCAGTTGCGCATCGTCGAGCAGCAAGTACCACGCAGGAGACATGGCATCATTGGAAGGAGGGTGAGCTCGGTGTGCAGTGCGAGACCTGTCTGCAACTACACACGCCTGGAACGCAACTTCCACTCACCGGTTATCGAGGCTCCCCAGGTTCCCTGAGGGAGTACATGCAGAACCCTCAAAGGCACAGGCTGGTGGACGTGATCTATATAGGGACCCTAGACACCAATGAGATCGCCAAGCCAGTCTTCATCTGCGTGAGGCGTGGAGCCTGGGCGCAGCAACGCCGACGTGTGAAGCTACGCCTGCCATGCACGGCAGCCACCACGGAGGGCTTGGAGGTCCTGAGCAACCCTAAGAAAGGCATCGGACCCCACAAGAAACTTGGGCGTTTCATCGACGCCACGACCCCCGTCGGCAAGCTTTGCGCGGGTGCAGTTGCTAGCACGACGTGCACCAAGGTCGGCATCATCAAGCGCAGGAACTCCGATATATAGATCTAGAGAGAGAGAGAGAGCTCCAGCATCCACGAGCAAAGGATGGCAGTACTACATCAACGTGCCCGGGATAAGGACATGCGACTTCACGAAGCCAAGGAGGAGCATGACACCATGCTAGGAAGTGCGGTGCGTGGCGGCCTGATTCACCTGACCACGGCGCCGCATGGCGACCACATGTGCCACCACGACAACATCGCGGACAGCCTCCCCCACGGTGTCGTCATCATGACCGACGCGGTCGATGCTGTGGCCACGGTGGAGATGGATCACCAGGACATCGTCCCAGATAGCTACTCCATCGTCGGGGAGCTGCTCTGCCAAGGAGCGGTGCCGGCAGAGAAGGGTGGGCTTGCGGATGCTGCCCTTCATGATGCCCCTTCCCCAAGGGGCACGCCTTCCTCCGCTACGGGATCCGGTCCCTCTGGCAGGGGGCTCCAACGTGAACGCCCACCTCGGCAAGGCGCGCCTCCAGCCGAGAGGGCTGGAGGGCGCGGGGGGACGCAGGAGATTCAGCCTCCGCTCCCCCCACCGCGGGTGCAGCAAGAAGCAGATGCACGACGCAGAGAGCAGGCGTACCTTCGTGAGCAAGCTGGAGATCACGGCCCCCTACAGCTTGGAGCGGAGAGGGAGGTCCAGTTGGCGCGAAGCAAAGGCCAAGCCGCCTCAGCCCTTCTCCCAACGAGGAAAGTGGCTCGCCTAGGGTCAGAACCAGCAGCGTGGTGGATGCTGGGTACCTGGTGACCCCCAGTGGATACTCAAGGTGCACGTGGTGGACAGCAGCGTGGAGGAGCACGGCCAGACGGAGTGCCCGCGGCCCCGGGGCACGGCGCTGGACACGGAGCTGGGCGCCAAGCAGTTCGGGGGGGGGGGGCGAAGGCGGGCGGTCTGGCCCGAGCAGCACCCGGAGGCGCTCCAGGTCGCAGGCCGAGGCGATGAGCTTCAGGCAGCTCGCTGCCATGGCTGCAGGGAGCTCGGGGCGAAGCTCGAGCCCGCGAGGCCCTTCGGCGGGGCCGTGCCCCTCCGCTGGGGAAGCGGCTGGGCGGGCGCCCGACCCTCGACCCCCGAGGCCCGCGAACTCGCGAACTCGAACTCGAACTCCTCCTCCTCCTCCTCCTCCCTCCTCCTCCTCCTCCTCCTCCCTCCTCCCTCCTCCTCCCTCCTCCTCCTCCTCCTCCCTCCCCCTCCCTCCTCCTCCCTCCTCCTCCCTCCCCCTCCCTCCTCGTCCCTCTTCCTCCTCCTCCTCCTCCTCCTCCTCCTCCCTCATCCTCCTCCTCCTCCTACTCCTCCTCCTCCTCCTCCTCCTCCTCCTCCTCCTCCTCCTCTTCGCTCCCTCCCCCCCCCCATGCGGGCCCGGAGATGGCCCCAACACGCCGTCCAGGCCGGCCTCCCTCGCTGTTTGAATATGCGAGTCTCTTCCTCTCTACCCCCGTCAACTCTCATGGGCATCGTTTCTGGATGGGCTGGTGGGGATACTTTTTCGGTCGCGGCCGCCAGCGAAGAGGCAGACGGCGAAAGCAAAGTCCAGGGCGGCGAACGAGGCAGGTGGGGATACGCGAAGCGTCAATAATGAAAAATAGCCAAACAATATTCAAAATTACCCCAGTGCGACCCTACCTAGAAGTTGGAGCCCCTAGGAAAGCAGCATTAGTTGCTATGCTATGCTATGCTATGCTATGCCATGCTATGCTGCGCTATGTTATGTTATGCTATGATATGCTGCACTATGCTATGTTATGCTATGCTATGCCATGATGTGCTATGTCAGGCTGCGCTGTGCTATGCTAAGCTATGATATGATATGATATGATCTGATTGGCTATGGTATGCTACGATATGCTATGCTCTGCTATGCTATGCTATTATATGCTGCGCTATGCTAGGGTATGCTATGGTATGATATGATATGATTGGCTATGGTATGCTATGTTATGCTAATGAAGCGCTGCGCTATGCTAAGCTAAGCTAAGCTAACTCTCTAGACAGAGCCTGGTCGGGCATGAAGGTAAGCTAAGCTAAGACAAACCTGAGCTAAGATGAAGCTAAGCTAAGCTAAGCTAAGATGCAATAAGCTAAGCTAAGATTATATAAGCAACGCTAAGCGAAGGGGACGCGTAACTGGGGGAACCGCGGGGCGGATACTGGGGGAACCGCCCGGGGCGCTTTCCACTGCCCGGCCCCTTTAAGCCCAGAGAGTAAGAACCCTTCCAGGCAGAGCCTAGGTAGGGAAACAGTCGAACAATGATCATCACAAAATCGTCCCCAGACTATCTTTGGACTATTTTTCAATATTCCTCCTGCAGAGGGACAGGCCCGGCTGAAGTGATGCTCACGCGGTCTTCTTGTCTTCTTGGTCTTCGAGCTCCGCCACGGCCCACCGCGCGAGCATGGAGAGCAGGATCGACAGCAGGGGCGCACACGCGAGCCTCATCATGCGCTCTTCGGCTTGCTGCCCGCGCGTTGGCAGGCCCACCGGTGCCGCGAGAGGGGGAGCAGCACTGACAGAGGCTCTTGAGGGTCCGAATGACGGCGGGAGGGGAGGAGCAGAGGAGAGCCAGGAGGGCAAGAAGATGCTGCGGCCAGGACACCTGTATACTCTCCGATTGCTGGCAGGGGCCTGACCTGGCTGATGGGTTCGTGCTGGGCCGCCAGCGGGCGCCCGCGCGGGCCCAAACCTCACCCCACCGCATCGAGAGTTGGGTCGGGCATGCCCCCCTGCAGGCGGATTTGGGGCGAAAACATAAAATTATGCTAACGGAGTTCCCCACACAAAGATTTTAACGGTTTCGTGGGACCCATAGGGGTACGACAACATCAACACGAAGGAGAAGCTCATCGAACGAGTAAGTACGCACGACAGGGCAGACGAAAGAAAGGAGGGAGGACAGGTGCTCAAGAAACGAAGCCTTGTAAATAGTATGGGTTTCCGATACCCTCCTCGCTCAGGCGGGGCCTCCCTGGAGAGGTGGGAAGGGCACGAAACCATGTAAATAGTATGGGTGTCCGATACCCTCCTCGCTCAGGCGGGGCCTCCCTGGAGGGGTGGGAGGGGCACGAAACCATGTAAATAGTATGGGTTTCCGATACCCTCCTCGCTCAGGCGGGCCCTCCCTGGAGAGGTGGGAGGGGCACGAAACCATGCAAATAGTCCAGGTTTCCGATACCCTCCTCGCTCAGGCGGGGCCTCCCTGGAGAGGTGGGAAAGGCACGAAACCATGCAAAGAGTATGGGTGTCCGATACCCTCCTCGCTCAGGCGGGGCCTCCCTGGAGGGGTGGGAGGGGCACGAAACCATGTAAATAGTATGGGTTTCCGATACCCTCCTCGCTCAGGCGGGGCCTCCCTGGAGGGGTGGGAGGGGCACGAAACCATGTAAATAGTGTTGGTTTCCGATACCCTCCTCGCTCAGGCGGGGTCTCCCTGGAGGGGTGGGAGGGGCACGAAACCATGTAAATAGTATAGGTTTCCGATACCCTCCTCGCTCAGGCGGGGCCTCCCTGGAGGGGTGGGAGGGGCACGAAACCATGCAAATAGTATGGGTTTCCGATACCCTCCTCGCTCAGGCGGGCCCTCCCTGGAGAGGTGGGAAGGGCACGGGAGGTGGGAGGCGGGAGGGAGAAGGAGAGGATGTTCTGGAGAGGATGTTCTGGGAAATACTCAAAACGTATCCCAGAATAATAAAAAATGCTCGAAAAACTGTCCCCAGACTACAATCGGGGCGTTGACCTAAGGAACCCTAAATAAGGAACGAGGCCCCTTTTTTCCAGAAGTTAAGCTTCGATTTCCCATCGAAAACATAAGGAAACCCTGAGGCAAGCTGTGAAACAATTAAGGAGCACGGAGCCCCTCCACAACGAAAAGGCTTCATTCTTCAGCGCACCGACTGCTCTTGAATTGTTTTTCCCCACATGCTTCGTGGGGTTATGGTTTTCTTCCCTGCCGCGCCGCACCCGCGACACTCACCCTCACACCTCCCTTCCCGTCTCTCTCTCTCTCTCTCACACACCTCACTCTTCCCCTCCTCCTCACAGCACTGCTCAGCACAGCTCAGCTCAGCTCAGCTCAGCACGGCACAGCTGAGCACAGCTCAGCTCAGCTCAACTCAGCACAGCACAGCACAGCACGGCACAACACAGCACAGCACAGCTCACCGCACAGCAGCACAGCACAGCACAGCACAGCACAGCACACAGGGCATTTCCTCGACGTCACAGAGGGTGCGCTGGGGGTGGGGGCCCTATGCGCTGCAGGCCCCCAGGCCGTGGCAGGCGTGGCATTTCCTGGGCGCCACAGGGGGTGTGCTGGGGGTGGGGGCCCTATTCGCTGCAGGCTCCCAGGGCGTGGCAGGCGTGGCATTTCCTCGGCGCCACAGCGGGTGCGCTGGGGGTGGGGGCCCTATGCGTTGCAGGCTCCCAGGGCGTAGCAGGCGTGGCATTGCCTCGACGCCACAAGGGGTGCGCTGGGGGTGGGGGCCCTATGCGTTGCAGGCTCCCAGGGCGTGGCAGGCGTGGCATTTCCTCGACGCCACAGGGGTGCGCTGGGGGTGGGGGGGCCCTATGCGTTGCAGGCTCCCAGGGCGTGGCAGGCGTGGCATTTCCTCGACGCCACAGGGGGTGCGCTGGGGGTGGGGGCCCTATGCGTTGCAGGCTCCCAGGGCGTGGCAGGCGTGGCATGTCCTCGACGCCACAGGGGGTGCGCTGGGAGGTAGGAGGAGGAGGTAGAGGAGGAGGTAGAGAAGGAGGAGGAGGAGGAGGAGGAGGAGGAGGAGGAGGAGGAGGAGGACGTGCAGGTGGGGCAGCAGCAGCGGCAGCAGCAGCAGCTGCAGCAGCAGACGCAGCAGCAGCAGAAGCAGCAGCAGAAGCAGCAGCAGGAGGATACCGAGGAGGAGAAAGAGGAGCAGCAGCAGAAGCACCGATGGTACACATGGGAAATAAAATAGGTATGTGGGGTTCCTCGGTAGCGTAATGAACACTCCTCCTGTGGAGGGCCACGCCCGACTTCCTTACGTCGAGAGGCAGCCTTCTGGGGCCGCCCGCTGGGGCCCCCACACCCGCGGCCGCAGCCATGGAGCAGGGACCGACCGCCCCGGCATTCCTATAGTCCTACCACGAATTGTTCTTAGAACCCATGAATGTTCTCATAACAAAAACAAGTGTTCTTAGAACATCAACCCGCTGTGATAAACCAAGGCAGGCCCGTGGGAAGCCACAAGAGGTTCTTAGAACATTGTTCGGGGATGGACAGACCCACCTTTAGTAAAGCGTCGTTTAGTGAAAACGACCTGAGGCCCAGACCTGGTGGGCGCAAGCCTGGAAAATGACGGCCACGGCGCCCTCTCGAGCACCGAGAAGGCACAATTCACCAATCGACGTGTCCCTGCTGGGGGTTCTGTCCACCCCCGACTTGTTTGGTGGGGCCTATCGGCGAGCCAGGACGCTGCGCCACTGCCTGAAGCCAAGGCACGCTGCGGGCCACTCCGCCGCCGGTCGCCGCGCGGGGAGGACCAAGCAGGGGCAGCGAGGAGGAGGAGGAGGAGGAGGAGGAGGAGGAGGAGGAGAAGGAGGAGGAGGAGGAGGAGGACGAGGAGGAGGAGGAGAAGGAGGAGGAGGAGGAGGAGGAGGAGGAGGAGGAGGAGGAGCGGGAGGAGGAGGAGGAGGAGGAGGAGGAGGAGGAGGAGGAGGAGGAGGAGGAGGAGGAGGGGCGCCGGCAGCCTCGCCGCCGCCCGAAGGGGGCGCCGAGGGGCGCCCGCGCCCTCGCAGCCGGGCACGCCGACGGGGGCCGCCGGCGGGCGCCCGCGCCCCGACGGCGACGACGAGGACGCCGACGACGACGACGGTGACGAGGACGACGACGACGACGGCGGCGACGACGGCGACGACGACAACGAGGACGAGGACGACGACGACGACGACGACGACGGCGACGACGAGGACGACGACGACGACGACGACGACGACGACGACGACGACGACGACGACGACGGCTGCGGCGGCGGCGGCGGCGGCACATGTCGGGCCACTCGCGGTTGCTCGTGACCGCACCCGCAGTGGCAACGGCGCCCGCACTCGACTCTGCCGCAGCCGCAGCCAGGGAACACATGTGGGGCCCACATCGTCGTCGTCAGCATCAGCACCCCGATCACCATCATCGCACCATTGTGATATCCGCCCACATCCGCATCCATGACAACATTGTCGTCATCAACATGATGACCACCACCACGGTCATTTTCGAAATCGCCGGCACCATCATTAACAGATCAACTATCCGCATTGCCCCGCGTTGCCGCTGCATGCAGCCCCTAATTAGGCGTGGCCAGCGGCTCTCTGCGGGGACGTGGCAGAGGGGAATCCCTTTTCCACGCCGATCGGGGGACCCCATTGGGCCCGCACCGAAGGCCATTCCAGCGAAAGGTCACTCTTGCGTGCAGCCGAGAAGGGTCACTGCGACGCGTACTGCCGGCGCGTCTGCATCTGGCGCGAGCCCCGGCGGGGCCGTGCCACGGCTGCAGACGCGGCCGCAGGGCTCGAGGCGGGGAGGGCGTGCCGCGGAGACGCCTCAAGTCAGCGGAGCGCAGGCAGGAGACTCGGGGCAAGAGCGGTGGCAGCAGGAAGAGCAGGAGGATGAAGAGAGGCATGTGGTTCCCATCGCTCTCAAGGGCCAACCCCAGAAACAACTTCGAGCACCAAGAAAAAAAGGTGTCGAAACAGTGCCTGCCCCGCACGCCAGCGAAGTGTCGAACGAGCGTCGCCTCCCATGGCCCGACACGCGAAATTCCTCCAACTTCGGTGCCCTCTTGGCGCTCCAGATTGTTTCTGGTCTCCAAGGCTACAGTAGGTTGGAACATCAGAGAGAACGCGTTTCACGGGCGTTTGCCTGGGGAACATTCGGCGGCGCGTTTCGAACCGGGGGGTGGCCCCCCCCCCCCCCACCAATACTCGGCGCCGTCGATCAAAACCAGGGAGACTCCCCTCCCCCCCAAACCCCCCCTCCCCCGACCCCCCCCCCCTCCCCTCCATCCAGGGGGTGGGGGGGTCCGGTTTCAACCCCCCCCCTCCAAGCGACCACAGAACGCGCTCTTTCGAACATCACAAGAAGAGAGGTGGAGAGGAGGAGCTCGCCATCGCTCTCGGACGTCCAGCCCCCGTGCACTCTTCGGCTTCGCGCGCGCATGCTTCGCAAGATGATCACAAGGATGTTCCTCGACGGCCCTCGCCCCCCCAAGCATGCTCACGCCCGAGCGATGCCAAGGGAAAAGGACCAGGGTTCCGACGGCCCGTGCCTTCGGCGAGACTTCCCGGCGGATGCTCTCGCTCGCTGGGCCCTGGGGGGAGCCGGGGGGGGCCGTCCACAGAAGACAGCCCGCGGGACGGGAGGGCCGTCCTGGGCGCAGGGTCGGGGCTCTTCCTGGGACCGCGGGAGGAGCAGAAATCCT